ATCCGGTATTTCATGTTTCGATGCTCCGGAGGTATCACGGTGACCCGTCGCACGTGTTGGATTTCAGTTCAGTCCACTTGGACAAGGATCTATCCTATGTTGAGGAGCCAGTGGCTATATTAGACAGGCAGATCAGAAAGTTGAGGTCAAAGAACATTGCTTCAGTGAAGGTTAAGTGGCAGGGTCAGCCGGCCGAGGAGGCGACCTGGGAGACCGAGCAGGATATGTGCAGCAGTTACCCTCATCTTTTCACTACTTCAGGTATGTCTTTATGCTCGTTCGAGGACGAACGAATGTTTAAGTGTAGGAGGATGTGACGACCCAACCGGTCGTCTTAAGAATTAACGCCCCGATCCCCTATTAACTGCTTCCCCTAAGTCTATTTCTGCTAATTTGATTTGCCGGGATGTTCAGTTTTGAGTTTCGGAGAGTTTTGGGACACTTAGTACCTGAATGACAGCTTAAGCGCTAGAAAGTTGCCCGTAGTTCGAACAGTGTGAAGACGGCCTCGGAATGGAAATCCGATGATTCTGTTAGCTCCGTTAGGTGATTTCAGGGTTGGGAGCGTGTTCGGAATGTGTTTTGGAGGGCCGTAGCTGATTTAGGCTTGAAATGCTGAAGTTTGAATTTTTGAAGTTTCCGGTCCGATAGTGAGATTTTGATCCGATGGTCGGAATGGAATTTCGGAAGTTGCAGTAGCTCCGTCATGTCATTTGGGATGTATGTGTAAAATTTCAGGTCATTCGGACGTGGTTTGGTTAGGTTTTTTATCGAAAGCGTATTTTGAGGAAAGTTGGAGTTCTTAGGCTTAAATCATTGATTAATTCGAGTTTCTGACATTGTTTTAGGTGGATTAAGCATTGGTACAAGTTTGAATGATGTTATGGGATATGTCCGTAGGTTTGGTTGAGGTCCCGGGGGCCTCGGGTGTGTTTCGGATGCTTAACGGAGCATTTTGGAGTTATGAGAAATTGCAGAAATTCTCTTCAGCTGTTGCAGACCATTTTCTTCTTCGCGATCGCGTCCCAGCTCACGCGATCGCATAGAGCAATCTGGAGGAGGGCCCAATTCCTTAAACGCGATCGCATGGATTGACTCGCGATCGCTTAGCTCTGCCCTTTCCTCTTTCGCGTTCGCAGCTTCTCCTTCACGTTCGCGTAGTGTAGACTGAGTCGGTGGCTCAGAGGCCCATTCCTTCTTCGGGTTCGCGTGTCCTCAGACGCGATCGCGTAAGGCCAGCTCCTCCTCTTCCGCGATCACAAGCCCTTTCACGCGTTCGCGTAGGCCTTTTTCTTGGAGCCTTTATTTTACTCTACGCGATCGGGACCCCACTTTCGCGATCGCGATTCATTAAACACCTAGGCAGTTATAAATATTTCAAAACCGGGGGTTAGCCATTTTTGTCAAAATACAAGCTTGGGAGCTCGGATTTGGGGGGGAAATTTTGAAGGTTTTTCGAGGGCAACTACTGGGTAATGATTCTTTACTCTCTTATGCTTAAAACCCACTAATCTAATCACGAATTCATCTTTAATTTCGTATTTTCGAATGAAAAATGGGGAAAACTTCATAGACCAAACTATTGAGTTTTGAGTGGGTGTTTGACCTCCGATTTGGGAGATTTTTATATGGTTAGACTCGTCAGAGTACGAGGGTTCTAAAAATGTAAAATTTATCTGATTCCGAGACGTTGGCCTGAGGGGCATTTTGGTTATTTTACCTAGATTTGCGTCTTAGCTTTAAATTAAATAGTAGAATCAGTTGCTTGAGATGTTATTTACAATATGTAATTGAATTGAATAGATTTGGGCCATTTGGAGTCGGATACTCATAGCAAAAGTGTGGTTTCGAGTTGATTTTGGAGCCGGTTTGAGGTAAGTGGCTTGTCTAACCTTGTGTGGGGGACTTTTCCCCTTAGGATATGATATTTGGTAATTGAATGCCTTGTACGTGAGGTGACGAGCGCGTACTTGAGCTAAATGTTGAAAATTCCGTTTTTACTTTAAATGTTTAGACTGAGTTTCTTTCTTATCTGCCTTATTTTATTTGCAATTATAGACTGTGTTAGCTAGAAAAGCATGCTTAGTTGTTCTAAATTGTCTATTTGCTCAAGTTGCCTTGTTTGCACTATGTGAAGCATGTTAGGCTAGAACTACCTGTTGCCTTGTATTTGTGAGCTTCATTTTTGAATATTCTTCGTGTTGTGACTGCGTATTTACATTGGGACTATGAATGTGGGATTCCGGTAAACCCCCCCCCCCTCTTGTTTGTTTACTTTGGGACTACGGGTTAGATTCCCGATAGATCCCCCTGCATATTTACTTTGGGACTGCGGTTTCGATTCCCGATAGATCCCCCTGCACATTGATAGTTGGACTACGGGACGGTATCCCGAGAGATCCTTCGGATATACTCATATGGTGGACTACGGGACGGTATCCCGGGAGCTCCTTGGACAGTGGATGAAAGGGACTACAGAACGGTATCTTGGGAGATCCTCGTTGTTGGTATTGATATTGAGCTATTTTTACTCTGTGTTATGTTATTCTCTGGGTGTTAATTGTTGCCTTGTATAACCTGTCTTACTTCATAGCTGTACTCATTATTTCTGTTTATTTCATGTTGTTGCAAGATTTATTATTATATTTTATCTCAGTAGGGCCCTGACCTTCCTCGTCACTACCCGACCGAGGTTAGGCTTGGCACTTACTGAGTACCGCTGTGGTGTACTCATGCCTCTTCTGCGCATGTTTTTCATGTGCAGATCCAGGTACTTCATCCCAGGCGTATCACTCTCGAGGCGGAGAGATCTAGCAGAGACTTCGAGGTACATCTGCCGCGTCCGCAGACCAGAAATCTCTATCTTATTCTAGCTTAGCAGTTAGCTTTTCCTTTCTTACTTTTGCTTTAGATATTCTGGAGATTAGAACATTTACAGTACTTCTTCTAGCTTGTGTTCACGTGAGTTTCTGGGTTTTGGGATGATATTGTAGACTTCCGCATTATTGGGTTGTATATGTCGGGCGGCATTTATATACAGTTACCCTTCTAGTTTGTTTGGTTTAATTATTTATTTCCGTAAGTTATGTTATTTCCGCATTGTTAGGCTTACCTAGTCATAGGGACTAAGTGCCATCACAACATGTTCACGGAGGGCAAACTGGGGTCGTGACAGATGCCTGCTACGATTCATTGTTAGTTTTTTCTATTGAGGCTGAATGGATTGTTATATGGGTCATTCTATCCTTGGCTATGTGAGTAGTGTGGCCACCGTAGAGTCTAAAATCCTTTTTCAAAATGATTTTCTTAAAAACTCAAATATTTAAAATTGTTTTCTTGTCCTCAATTAATGTTAGCGTCCAAGTGGGAGAATGTTGGAATTTGGACTTACGTTAATTAGTTATAGCCTGAAATGATAGTGACGTGGCCCAAGTGGTGGATAAGTAAAAGGCCTAATATTAAATATTGTGTGTGTAGATAAGTGAGGCCCAATAAATATTGGCCTGTGATGGGCAGGCACTCTTTATAAATAGAGGCCAACCCCCCTTTCCCTAGCTATCAGAAAAACCCTAGCGTATTCTGCCTCTTGAATACGTGGTAACGGTAGACGTCCCATCAGTCAAGTTCTCCAGGCTGTGAGAGCGCGTAGCTAGTGGATCGTGGAAGTTGGTTTCAGGCTTGATCGCCGGTTGGTGTCCCTGCTTAATCCATGGAGTTTAAGGGTACGCTTCCTTGAACTTTAACTCTAGACTAATTGCATAATTGTATCTTAATCTCGGCTATGGCTGCGATTTAATAATCTTACATAATCTTCACATATGCATCTAATTAATCAAATAACGTTCTATATCTCTAGACCACTTACATAGTGTGAAGTAAGAAAATTTTATAGCAGAGTTTTTAATAGTTTCATCATTGTGTCCTACTATGTGAAGGGAGTTTGAGGAGCTTGGGATCGTCAGAGTTATTTTGGGAAGACTAGAAACGTTTTAGGGTTATTTTCGAAATTCCTACTACTTAAGCCTAATACATGCGGGCAGCACCTAAACTTTTCATTACCTGTCAGCATAGTTAGTGTAAATGTGGGCTCTTCGCAGCCTTTTTTAAGGCTATCATGTGATGTGGCCCCCATCTAAGTTTATTCCATCCATTTTCTATTTCCCATCCACCTCTCTATTTGATATAATTACTCTAAGTGAAAGCTTTTTGAACTGGTTAAATTCAAAAAAAAAAAAAAAATAAACTATTTTTGTAACGATCCGGATTTTCCACCCTCGAGAGTCATGATGTCGCCTACTAATGAAAGCTAGGCAAGCCAACTAACTGAACTATTTAACCTATTTTTCATTTTCATTTTATTTAATGACATAGCTTCAACAATTTATAGCAACATAATTTAACATGCGGAAGAAATAAATTTCAAGTTTAACAGTACTACTAATACCATCTCATAACAAAACCACCCAAGATTTGGTGTCACAACTTCACAGACTGTGTAAGCAGAGGCGTATCCAGGATTTTAAGAACATGGGTGCACCATTATCTTTAAGATAAAAGCTTGGTTCAAATATACAAAATTTATGGTGATAACAAGTTGCCGAGGAAACTATATTAATATTATATTCACAAAAAACATCATTCACTTCACAATTGTCCTCGACGAGTTTTCATACTTTGAAAACGGTCGATAATAGCATCATTACTTACAGTTTTGAATATCTTACGCTCTATATAACAAACTAAACAATCATTTAAAAAATCATCATCCATCCTATTACGTAAATCATTTTTGATGTACTTCATTGATGAGAATGCTCTTTCCACGCTTGCGGTAGCAACAGGTATAAGCAAAGTCAACTTCACAAGTAAATAAATAAGTGGCCAAGTAAGATCCAATTTTGTCTCTATCATCACTCTAGCGAAATCCTTAATTCCCTTCAAGTTAAGAAATCTGCTATCACACTTTTGAGCATAGACAATAAAACTATCAAGTTGGAAACCGAGTTCTGAAGCTTGTTATTACCAAACTCACTAGCATAATACCCTGCCAACTTCATTGTCCTGTCCTTATCAAAATTAGCAAATGAATTAACCGGATTCAAACTGGCCATACCAAGTAGTAAGTCAATAGTCACAACATCAAAACGATCATTAAGCTCTTGAAATTCCATATCAATAACCGTAGTAAACACTTCGACCGAAAGTGATGTAAATATGAAACTTCGGACCTCTTACGCTTTGACTTTCCTAGAGTATAGTCATCATCCATCTTGGTAATTAGAATATCATGTTTACTACAAAATGAGCACACCTCATCCAACAAAGAATTCCATTCAGTTTCTCTCATCATTTGCAACCTTTCCTTTGCAAGGTCAAGCATTCTCATAGCATTAACAATATCTTGATCTTTCTTTTGTAAAGAATTGTTCAATTCATTTGTAAATAACAACACCTTAAACATCAAGTGCAACATAAAAATAAATCCAAATTCTTGAATTTGGCTCAAAAGATTTCCCACTGCAAATCTATCAAGATGATATGGACAGTCACGCTTCATATCTTTAAGCACATTAACAATTGAAGGAAATAAAACCATCAAATTGTCCAAGGTTTTAAAATGAGACCCCCAACGAGTATCACCCGGTCGTTGGAGGCCGCGTTCTTGATTCAAACCTTGCCCCGTATAGACTTCTCCAAATTTAAGCAACTCTTCCAACTTGTCTGCTTGATGTTGTCGAAGTGACTCCATGCGCTTAAATGAAGACCCAATAGTATTCAAAACATTAGTCACAACATAAAATAAATTATCCACATCCGAATGCTTTTTAGAAAGAGCTACAAGTGCTAGTTGCAATTGATGAGAAAAACAGTGAATACAATATGCAGATGGAGTATCTTGTAAAATTAAAGACTTGAGACCATTTATTTTTCCTTGCATATTACTAGCTCCATCATAACCTTGTCCATGTATCTTGGATTTACTTAAAAAATGATCCAAAAGCAAAGAATAAATTGCTTTTTGTAATGATGAGGAAGAAGTATCACTCACGTGGACAATACCCAAGAATTGCTCTATCACCATTCCATTTTTGTTGACATATCGCAAAATTAAGGCCATTCGCTCCTTATGTGAGACGTCCTTTGATTCATCAACTAATATTGCAAAATAATCACCATCCAAATCTTCAATAATAGCTTTAGTTGTTTCTTTAGCACAAGCTTCCACAATCTCTTTTTGAATTGTTGGACAAATCATCATATCATTTTGTGGAGCATGACGTAATATTACTCTTCCCACATCCGGATGTCGATCTCCATGCCATTCCAAAAAGTTCAAGAAAGCCACCTTTATATTCGGATTCTTCACTTTCATCATGTCCACGAAATGGAAATCCCGATCTTAAAAGAAATCTTGCCCATCAATTGATGCATTAAGCATTATCCGGTAATCACTTTTTACTTTTTCACTTAGCTTATCAAAAGAAGATTGAATTGATTGACGTGATTTTTCAAAATCTAGCATCCTATTGAAGCATTTGTGATGGATTTTATTTACTTCACAAACATGTGCTTTTAAGCGTTTCCACACCCCTGTTCCATCCCCTAAAACCATCTTTTTGTAAATGCAATCCCCGGCATTTCCACGCTTTCAAGTTCATTCTAAACAAAATAAACAACACAAGCAAAATGCCGCATTCTCCTTTATGCTATACTCCAACCATTGAGAATATTGGTCCCTTTAAACAAGTGGGACTAAAATTGACGCATTTCTCTCCCAATCTAGTTTTAGGAAAGGCATGACACAATCGATTGACAAGGCCCTTTGTTTTATATAATATCTCTCACTTCATCTCGAATATTTAGGACCATAATCCGAGATTGGCATTCTTTCTTTTCGGATCCGATTCAAACGATTTCAAGTCAAACACTTTATTCACATTTTGAAAGCAGAGAAAGATTTGTCCCCCTTTGAAATTCCGGATGCAATTGTGAACTCATGGATGGCCAACTAGACTAGAAACTTGGTTCACCATTTTTTTCGGCTTGGTGAGAAATCTATCCACTTTAATTCTTATGGATTGTTCCTGCAAAATTGTATATTCACACTTTTATTTAATCTATCTTGATTCAAATAAATCGTTAAACTCAAACCAAATTGGTAACACAAAAAAATGTTATTCAACATTTACTTTCAAACATTGCTTTGCCAGCTAATTTAACATAACTCTCTTAGAGAGCATAGAAAGTTTAAAGCTGTCAGAAGCAGAACGGCCCACACCAGTTAGCCTTGGTATTAAAAGTATCTGACTCGGCCAAAACATTTTCTCAAACATAATATGTGCACAAATTCAATAAACTATCATAATTCAAGACTTTCAAAGCCCCAGCTCTCCCAATTTCCCAATAGAAATTTAGAAATAGCATTCAACGGCTTCTCATTTCTTAAATAAACAATCATAACCACTATTAACAAGATAAAAATCTCAGCAAGAGAATTCAAACCATTGAGCAAACAGAAAAGCAGAGAGCGCGAAATAGGCTAGCAGCGAGTGAATTTGAAAATACATAGCAAGGAGAGTGAGAGTAGTTACATACCTGAGAATTTTAAAAGGAATGTGAAGGAGGAAAATGTTGCTTCTTGAGAATCCACATTCCAAGTCACATAGAACCGAGAGAGAGAGACAGAGATGAGAGGGAACAGAGAGTTGAGAGCTATTGTTTCTAGGGATTTGATGATTAATACCTAAAATTCCCCCTTAAAAAACGTGGGATCTGTTTTTTAGACAAGAGGGACTTTTTAAATAGAAAAAAAAAAAATATAAAAAAAACATAAAGTGCCAAAGAATTGATCCCGTGACCTGGGGGTTGTATAGCACAAAGTTACCAGTGTACCAAGGTAGTCATTGAGTATGGGTCCCACAAACATATTTATATAAGATAATTTTAAAATTAGTACTATTTATACTTAGCCTAGGAGGGAGCATGGGTACACGTACCCACCCCCCTCCACATAAATCCGCCTCTGTGTGTAAGAGTACTACAAATAAGGGTCTGAAAGAAAATAACAAAATACTGTCTCTAGAACTTACATAGGAGAAGCAGGAAAATAGATAGAGGGAGACACCAAGGCCTGCGGAGCTGCAGGACTACCTCGGTCGGCCTGGTTAAGTAGGAAGTTGAAATCTCACTGCGGTCCGAAATCTGCCAGCACTGGGATCTGCACAAAATAGGTGCAGAGTGTAGCATCAGCACAACCAACCTCATGTGCTGGTAAGTGCCTAGCCTAACCTCGGCCAAGTAGTGACGAGGCTAGGACCAGACTACCAAATAAACTTGTGCAGTTATATAACGATATACAGCGAAATATAAACAGGAAATAAACAAGTAAAGATGGAGGGTTACCCCACTTGCGGGGTATATCAGTTTCAATAGTATAGCAAGGAAGAAATTAAAATCTCCAACAACATTAAGAATAAATTGACTAATGCGCCACTATAGGAGTTTAAACC